GGCTCCATCTTCGGGTATTCCCCCAAACATTCTGGATCATTCGGCCCTCGCACCCCGTTGATGTTTCCGATGACGAGGTCAGCAGGGGGGTCGTCATGCATAGAGCCGTAACCTTCCCGCTGAAGTACGGGGTTTCAACCTTAATCTCTGCTTCGGGAAGCATCCGAACCGTACTGTCAATTAGGCAAACTGGTTTCGTTTTGCCTGTTAACTCACTTTTCCATATCAAATTTCTCTGCACGATAACCGTGGAGCTACCGGTGTCTCTTAACACCGTAATCTTCTTGCCCGCAACTTTTCCAGGCAGCGTTGGCATTCCCTTCGTAACACCGGTTGGCTGTTTTGTCATTACAGCACCCACAATAGAAAGTTTTTCTCCATTTTTCAACTCTACGAATCTGTCGGTGATGGCTTTATCATCGGATTTCGGTGCTGCTAGCACACAGGATACCTGGTGAGTTTGACTCGCTCCGTTACGACATGCGTCTGCTTTATGCCCAGTCTGACCACACTTGAAATATTTTACTACCGTAGGGCTCGTAAAGTTAGTACGACAGTTGTTCGCGCGATGACCCACTCGGTTACACAGAAAACATCACGGAACACTCTCCGGTGCACGCTTTTTTTGTTCGGGTGCCGGATGTTTCGAATCTTCGGGACACTCCTTCTTGGCCTTGGCCAAATTAGTGCCACACCTTGCGCTTCCAAGAATTGATCCGCTAATTCAAGCATGCCTTCAAGTGACTTGGCTCTCCTCTCTTTCAAGTACAGCGACAGGCTTGGGTGGCAACTAGTAAGAAATTGTTCTCTAATTAGGAGCTCTTTAAGTTCTTCGTACTCCTGCGCTGTCCCTGAAAGTTCAATCCATCTGTCGAAATAATGGCAAAGTCGGGCGGCATACTGCGTAGCCGTCTCACCATCAGCTGGCTTTCCTGTCCGAAACCTGTCCCGGAATCCTTCCACAGTAAATCTAAATCGCTTCAGCAAAGCTGCTTTCACCTTTGCATAGTTGTCTGCATCGGTCGGCGTCAGCCTACCGTACACACTGAGCGCTTCACCACTCAAGCAAGTACTCAAAGCAGTTGCCCATTGATGTTCCGGCCAATTCCCGGCTCCTTGCAATTGTCTCAAATCTGTGAAGGTACGCGTCAAGGTTGTCCTTCTTTTCATCAAACGCTACGAGCAGCTTGCTTGGGTTCAAGCGGAAGCCGTGATCTTCCCGTTCGCTGCTTTCAACTCTAGCTTGGACGGGAGTTCCACTTCGCTGTTGCAAACGGAGCCGCTCGAGTTCCATCTTGTGCTGCTGCTGCCGTTCCCTTTCCTCTCTTTCTTCTTTCGCCCTCTCAGCTGCCAGTCTTTCTCTCTCCAGCTTCAACTTCAATTGCTGCTCTCTTTCTTCTCTCGCCCTTTCGGCTGCCATCTTTTCTCTCTCCAGCTCCAACTTCAATTGCTGCTCTCTTTCTTCTTTTGCTCTCTCAGCTGCCAACCTCTCTCTCTCCAACTCAGCTGCTTTTTCTTCCTTGGCTCTCTCAGCTGCCAACCTCTCTCTCTCCAACTCAGCTGATTTTTCTTCCTTGGCTCTCTCAGCTGCCAACCTCTCTCTCTCCACCGCCTCTTTCTTCTTCTGGCTTACCCACTTCCGTAGTTCAGCGCCAGAAAGACCCATCTTCTCACTAAGAGCTGACTAACTTTTCGAGATCCATTGTGTCTCGCAAATAAAACCTTGCTGCGTGCAAAAAATATCTGCCTAAATCAGTATATCAGAACACTTTCTGCACTCGTTAATGAGAACACTGAACAACACACAAAATCGTTCCGATAGCACTATCAACAATTCGAGGCTCTTTCTCACTACTTTGGACACACTGTGCACCAAAAGGTCCTGTCGCGGACGCGAGATTAATTGTCACAGGTCCCGTTAATTTGGAAGGCGATCGCCAGGCTAATTCCAAGGGCCGAAGTATCGGCCCCCGAACCGCACCACGAAAGCGTGGACAATTTAGAAGTGGTCCTATTTGGCGCGCCAGCGGACGCCGGCTGTGTCCCTAAGAACAAGTCAGAGCCGAAAGTTGATAAAAAACAAAACAAAACTATATTCTCAATTATGGCAGATCAAAACGATACACAAGTATGCACACTCCACAATAGTTGAATACAATATGTCGCCAATCAAACAACGTACTACACAATACAATCAGCCACAATCGAAACAAGGGACACCGACGACAATACACACTACAATGCAGTCGCATGCATTGAACAACCAAGACACTTAAAGACTAAAGAGTTAGAAAACTTATTCAGTCCAAAGTTCTTGGAACAAAAGTCTGAATGATACTCTTCCGAGAATCACTCACTCAAAGTCCAGCGTTGTTGTAGTTCCGCTGCCCCCGAAGTTTCTCTTCCAGGAAACCTCGCGTCTTCAATTGGACCGCTCTCCAAGCTCCAAACTTCTTCGCCGGAAACACGTCGGCTTCACACACGCAGCTGTTGCCACGCGTCTTCGCTCGATAGCGGTAGACATACGCTCTTGCCTGTAGCTCGAGCCTTCACCCCTCAGGTGGAAATCCTCTTCTTCTCCTCCTTTGTCACGAAGACAAAAGGCTTCGCCCACAAGGCGGAACACCCTATGCACTCTGGCGCATATTTTCTTCTTCTCCTGCTTTGTCACTAAGGACAAAACCTTCACCGACTACACGGCAGAATACCCTATGCGCTCTGGCGTTAACCTCCTTCTTCTCCTGATATACCATTTCGGCTGCTCGATAAAATACCTTCCGAGCGAGATTCCAGAAAGTTCTCATCATTTCGTCGGCGCGATACGCAGCGAAGGCTGGGGAAAGGGCGAGACGATACGGGGGCAGTCCGCGACGGATGACTCAACCCGGCATCACCATGCCCCTTTCTATCGAGAAAATTCCAGGGCTTGCTCGGCCGCCGTTCCGAGGAGGTTCGTCGGCGAACCCACGCTTCCGAGGGGAGAGGGGCGCGCGCCCGGGGAGTCTTTGGATGCTTGTTTTTTTTTATCGTTGACCTCTCGGCGCTTCCTTGCGAGAATTTGGCGGCGCGCCCTTTTTTGAGCGCTCGGTTTGTGACATCCGCTCGTACTAGACTTATTCTAGAAAGTTTGTAGGCAACAAGCATGTTTACTAGCTCCATGGCTACTTGAAAAAGTGCTGCAGGGTTTTTTAAAGGAACATGTTACCTTCAAATCAATTCTTCATTTTATTAAGCTTGTTATGACGGCTTATATGCTCAAAGTATAATAAATTTTAAACGTTAAGTATTTTATAGGTTATCACTCGCATCCTGCCGAAACTACTACTCAAGGTTGTCTCGACTTCCTTTGAATGAAAAAAAATGGCATTTGCATAGAGGCCCTATTTCAATTTAAAAAAATACTGTGCAGGTTAGTTAGGTCATGATAAATATTATCTTTTATTATATGTCATACATACCATTCAAATTCGATTCAAAATTATTCGATCAAAATCACTATACACTTTGAATTCGCTTTGAACCTAAAAATCACTATTCACACAAGCCTAGCATTGAAGCGTTACAGAACGCTCGTCGGAGTGCTGGCCTTGAACTCGATGTTATGCGATGCTCGTTTGCACTTAAAATGCCAGATGCAGTACGCTGAAATAACTGAAACATTTTTCTCATTGTACCAGCAGCTTATTTTGATGAACTTCCTACATTTAAGAAGTGAGGTTGGATTGATGGTACAAGCTTGCCAGGTCATTGATTCTCAGGAAACCGCGCCTCAAGATGAACGAAGGAGGAGGCCTATGTATGTTCGCTTTCGGATGGCTCGTTTTGAACTATTCATTTATGGCCGGTGCGTTGATGGGGGCTTTTTTTGTAGCACCGCCTGGGCTAAGTCTGATGTCTTTCGCGCCAAAGGGTAGCACAAAAAAACATGAGGGTGCACGGGCACTTATCGGGTGTCATGTGAGCGACCACGACATGCGCGGAGTTATATTATTTGTTGGCTCTACTTTTTACATAACTTCCTTAGCTTTGCACCTGATGTGTGAAGTAGCATTTGCCGCCTTAAGAAGCTGCTAGACATTAGCATTGCAAGCAATTCTTCCAGTAAGGGCAAATGAATTACTCGTACCAAACGAGTCTGAAAAACTTGAAGGGGCCAAACAGTTCTGCAAGCAATTAGACACAACAAAATGGCATGTGCCTTTCTTTCCAAAAGAATAGGCATTTTAGGTAGACTAAGGCACCTTGTTTAAAAAATATCAACCTACAAGTTGAATACGCTCTAGTGCCGGCAACCTGTGGGCCGCATGTGGCCTACAAAGCAGTGTTATAAGGCCCCGGTTCGACACCAAAACCTCCCCTCCCCTTTCCTGCCTTTCGCTTCCTATTTCAAGGCCTACATGATGTTTTCGACCTCAAGTGTGGCTAGACATTGCTTTCATTACGCATTGTGCCTCACTTTCAGACTGAGCTTAAGTTAGCAAAAATATAGCCTAAATTTCGGCAGTATTGCTTATTATTCTCACGTTGGATTCCTTAGCCCACAAAGTATCCTCCTCTCAAGATTCGCCCGTGCTGCCTTGTCGGCTTCATTCCAACTTGGCCGCCTAGCTGAAAAGGCTGCCTACCCCTGCTCTAGTGCATTCACGACAAACGTACTGTTTCTTGGTGCACAGACTGTCACAAACTGAATTAGTTCTTCTCAAGTCCTTTAATCCTTTAAAAGTGTGCAATCTTTGTCACTCCACTATATCACTAAGCACCTGTCATTTGTGTATTCTCTGCTATTCGTTTTGATGAGACTCTTTATTACGTAATGCTAAGTCTACGTACAGTTATAGTGCAGTAGCTCGGTTTCCCTGTTTTTTTGCGGCTGCTCTCTGTATTCATGTTTGTCTTCTGAAGGGAGACTCGGAAAGGGCGTGGTAAAACACGACAATCGAGGCTTTAGTTGCAAAGTAGTGTTTGTGTGAAGGTTTGTTTTTAATATTATTTTTTTTCAGGATGCTGAACCTTCCCTAACAAGCTGGCAAGATTACCATGGTTGCACGCCTCTTCATCTTGCTGTGGCTTCTGGCTCTATGGCTGTTATTGATTTACTGGTTAGTGTGACCCCTTTGCCCTAGCATAAAAGAACTTCAATGCTTTTGCGGTTTGAAGCAATTTTGTGCTGTGAAAGAATACTTAAGCAGACTCTTGTAGATGTTTGCTACGATTAACAATAGGGCAAAAGACGCATTCTCCTGGTGTGAACAAATTGCCCAACTTGTGGGAAGTTTTCTGTGCTTGCATGCTCGATATTTGGCATTTCATCATTGTATTTTCGGATGGACCAAATCGGTAGTCAGCACTGATCAATTCACACGAATAGCCCCGCCGGGGTGGTCTAGTTGCTAAGGTACTCGGCTGCTGACCCGCAGGTCGCGGGTTCGTAATCCCGGCTGCGGCGGCTGCATTTTCGATGGAGGCGGAAATGTTGTAGGCCCGTGTACTCAGATTCGGTTGCACGTAAAGAACCCCAGGTGGTCGAAATTTCCGGAGCCCTTCACTACGGCGTTTCTCATAATCATATGGTGGTTTTGGGACATTAAACCCCACATATCATCAATCAACTCAATTCACAGGAATTATTCTCACTGATTAGGAATGTGCTTCCTGACTGTGTAATCAATGAAAAAGGTTCTTTATAAATTATGTAGTCATAAATAAACTACGGAATGCAAAATGCTGTGCAAAAAAATACAAGGGCAGAAGGAGAGACTAGCATAGGCACCCCCCTTAGGTCCGCGTGCTTTTCCCACAGTGTCTTTCGTTCATAATGCTACACGAACTTGCCTTCAAATTATGGTTCTTTTAAAGTTTATTGTCTTTTTGTTGTTCTTTAAGAGTTTACTATGCTTACCACTTCTTGCAACCTGTACTTAGTATTGCCACGCGCATTAGTTATTTTCTTCGGCTTCAGGGCAAACAGCTCACTGACGAAGGAATAGTCGGCGCCAGTGTGGATGAGAGCAGTTACGTTGTGGCCGTTGATGAGAACGTCAAAATGACTTGTTTGTCGTCTTGCGTTGCTGTTGAGTCATAGGTCACGGTGTTGGATTATGGCTACGTTGCTTTGCTCCGCTGCTTCTACTTTGCGTAGTTAGGTATTCTGGCCGTGAAGTTTCGATGTTGGAGCTGCGTTTGGGGTTTAGCAGGTTCTTTAGGCTTCGTCGTGTCGTGGTTGTCGACGGTGGCGGCGGAGGAATTTTAGTAGTTCGTTGTACTAGCAACTGCACCTCCATTGATTGCTGCCCTTATTTTTTCGAGAAAGGGCTCGGAAATCAGCTGCAAGCAGGGCTGGCATACTGCCTGTGATGTGTAGCGACCTGGCAACGGCAAATGGTAAAGTCATCGGTGTGTCAACAGCACTTTTGCGAGGCGACACACCGGCGATGTCGTGGCGAGCGATCACTCCGCTGTGGGCACGGCGGATTGACCTTGAAACCACGCAGCTCCACCTGGCGGTACTGACAGCCACGGTAAGCCTGGCCAGCTTCGCAGTGGTGGCAGAGATGTCGGTGGTCCGGGCATGCCGCCCATCGGTTTTTTTCGAAGCGTTGCGCTGGCTGGCGGTCGGACAGTAAGGCAGCTGTAGCGGGGGTGTGTGGCGGCGAAACTGTGATGGTGCGGCCTCTTGATGTGGACGTGGAACGTAGCGTCGCGCTGCAGCAGCGTAGCTTATAGCCACCAGCTGCGCGGCTCCACTTGCTGAGGAACGCCCAGGGATTGCTGGATCTCGTGGCGCACAAGTCTGCAGTAGAATCCACTGGAGGCGTGGACGGAGGCAGGAATTTTCACAGCTCTTCCTGCACGATCGCTCTGATGATTCCACGCAGGTCGGCAAAGCAGAGCCCTGGGATATCGGTGAACTGCAGCATCGACTATTGTACTGGTGGTTGGCATGTTCAGGGTCTTCTCGGTAGTGGTCGCTTCTGAGACAAGCTCTTGTACACTCTTCAATGGCTTTCGCGCCAGCCCCACAAATAGTTCCTGTTTAGGCCCGCACATGAGGAGGCGAAGTTTCTTGTCTACAGGCATTTCGGGGTCTGTATAATGGAAGAGTAGTCATTTCTTCCATTAAGAGCTTGACGGTTTCGTTGGGTCAAGATGAGTTTTGGCCTTCTTTTTGCGGACAACGCTGGCGAGGATAGCGAAGAACCTAGTTCGGAAAATTATCACAATTATTTATCTACAGTTTGCAGACGGGTTTGTACGTGGCTTGCCCTACGAGTGCGACCGAGAAGAAAGTCCCGCCAAGCTGAAACGCGCAAAGATGCGGCGACCTGACGTGGCGTAGAAAAGGCCCTCGAGTCAGTTTGCCATGGCCACGGGCTTATTATTCTAAGATGCAGCGCAGTGCGAGAGACGCGAGAGGGTAAACACTGTTCCACGGCTTCCTGAAGGCCCCATTGTGTGATTCTACCAAAGGGTAATCGGAATGAAAGGGCCTAAGCAAGGGGCACAGAGCATTCCTTCTCAAGTTAAGAGGAAAGTCCTGCGGGCTTCATTTCAGCATAGAGAACACCCCCTGCAGTTGTGCCTCATGTCAGCCTTCATTGCTCTGTCATCTGTTGTTGTAAAGCTTACTTCACCGCATGCGCCTTCCATTTTTTTTGTTTATTTTGCTGTTGCTCCTTTCACTGTAATTACTGTAATTGCTCCTTTCACTCCTTTCACTCCTGTGTTGCTCCTTTCACTGTAATTAGGGACTGGGGTCCCTAATTATGTGAAAATCTTTGATGAGGTATACGACAAAAAGAAAAATATTTCTGTGCTCCAATATGGCAATTGTGCTGAGGGATAAGCGGGACTATTTGTAGGGGATCATTCTGATGTAGGTAAAGTTATTGAGCAAGTGTGCGAAAACATTTGTTGACTAAATTCACCTGTACGAAAAAAACAGAAAACAGGAAAATGGAAAATTAACAGAAAATGGGGAATGTATCAAGCTTTTTTGATTGGTCAGTCCTATCGTTCTCAATAAGAGGCAAATTCACAAGCTATCATAGAAGATTGACCTAAATTCAACGCCATGGCAACACTGCAACCACCATTCGAAAGCATGGTAAAAAATTTTTCCTTGATAATAAGACATAGGTAAAAGATGAGTGACACATCATTGCACTAACTGTAATGGGCAATGTGGGAAAATAATTTTGCTGCACCTGGAAAAGTGGGACGTATATATGTGTCCCGCTGTGGCACAGAGGGTTGACACGATGCACAACTTTGTCGTACAAAGTTATCATGACAGGTGCGATTATGTTATGCCTCTCAGTTTATGGCTATTGCGAGTCGAGCACACATCTTTAAATTTAGTGACAGTTGTCGCTTGGTCTATCCTATATACGGCTGACTGCAGAAGCCTTGCTACTGTTTCAACCTCACACAGTCGTACCGTGCACTATTAATGTCCCCTTATCCTAGCGAGGTTCATCACTGCTACACGATTTCGGGCGAAAAAGGCAACAGGCTAGGTCAACAAAATGGCACTTGATTGCTATACGTTAGCAATAACGCGTAAATGTCGCGTAGAAGGACATTCAGATAACAAAGGGTAGACGCTTACACCTCTGTCGTTGTCGTCCTTGGCTCGCAGGGGGTTCAGGGTTTGTCCTTCGTGTTTGGTGGCTGGTGCAAGAGAGCCTATCTGGTTGTCGGCACGCTAGTTTTCTTCGCAGTCCCAGTTTTTCTCTCCCTGACCAGAATTCATTCCTTCGCTGAAAGAGAGAAAACCCAATATGCATTTCGGGAAAGTAGAATCGCGAGTGCCGGCCGCGCGGTGTTCCATCTCTTCCGCAAGAAGCTTTATGACTCGTGTCTGAAAAGTACAGACATGTCCTCGCAACTAGGCTGTTGCGCTCCTGTAAAATGAAAACGGTAGCGAGGTGCACGTGCTTCCCCAGATCCTTCTCCAATTAAGAAGGCCCCCGAACGACAGAGACTGAAACATGATAATATTTTATTATTCATCACCAAGGAAGGCTAGAGTGGTGTGTTTCAATCCGCGCCCTCCTGTGATTGGCCCTCTGCCGTGGGTGCTGCTGGTGCCCCCACTCGTCGCTGCTGCATCTAAAGCAGCCACCACCGCTGCTATGCCCACTTGCACCATGGCCAGTCATCGCCACCACTGTCACCTCCGCCACTGTTACTGCTTCTGCTGTCACTTTCGCCGCCATTACGGTTGCCCTGGATCCAGCGCCAGTAGCACTCTGGTCGGGACTGCGCCCCGTTGACCCCGCCACTCAGGTCGTTGGTAATGGCTGAGAGTTGCCAGTTGGTGACGGGTCACGTCCAGCTGTGGCCCAGGCTGCTCTCTCCAGCGTGGTCTGGGCTGTCACACTGGGTCACGGGACCCCGGTCTGGCAAGCTCGAAAGTCTCATCTTCGGGGTTCCGTTCCATGGCGTCGAGGTAGCAGAGGCCATGAAAGTGCCCAGACAACCATGAGTCAGCTAGGTAGGTTTGTCTTTGTGACAGCAGCTCTGAGGCAGCTGGCTCTCTCAGCTGGGCTGGCTGTCGGTCACCCTGGCGCCTCTTGCGTAAAGGCCTGGTTATGAGGGTGATGGGGTAGTTTGTAGTGGCACTGCTTGGTAGGGTGGGGCCCTATCCCCATGACATGGATGGTGTTGGGGGTGATCTGGTGGGAGGAGTGGTCTCCTCTCAGAGCGGTTCTGGCGGCACCACTTTTCCTTTTGACTCTCCATCTGCTCGGTGGCAGTCCACACAGAAAAAAGGAAAGGTTAACACTGGCACAATTGTGGTGCGTGAACACTTGCATCTCGCGTTGAACATATCAAACACACGCAGATTTGTCTCCGCTTGTGCAGAAAGTAACGCGGTTCTGGGCTCCTCATTCGGTGTAGAGCGTTCGCCGCCTGCGGCCTGGAGGGGTACTGCCCGTTGTCCTCGTGCTCCTCCCGTGACACATAGTGTTTAGAGTCACATACGGGCACAGGTCCGCCGCTCGGTTTGCCTTTTATGTTCGCGAGCCAATAAATGACCGAGGAAACTTTTTTTCGCACTCGGTACGGCCCGAACCATTTTAATGCCAGTGTGGTT